GGGAGCAAGGGAGAATGAAGAGAACAGGATACAAGGAAAAGATTAGTCCAAAGGACTAATCGACCACAGCTACGAAGTCCTCCACCAGACTGAGTCCAGTACAGCTAGACGGTGCCCCGCTACCACCACTGACTGCTCTGACCGCGATCACAACAGAGGGCTCTGGACAAAGCTGGAGAAAGATATAGAACAAAATTCTAACTCACAAAAAAAAAGACCGGATTTACTGGCCTGACAGAGACTGGAGAAACCCCGAGAGTATGGCCCCCAGACACCCTTTTAGCTCAGTGGTGAAGTCATATCCACGGTTCACCGTTCAGCCTGGGAGTGGACAGCCCCATAAAACCAAACGGGACTAATGAGGTACAGCAGTCCAGGGACAAGGGCCAGAAGGCAGAAGGGGACAGGAAAGCTGGTGATAGGGAACCCAAGATTGAGTAAGGATAGTGTTGATGTGTTGTGAGGTTGTTAACCATTGTCATAGGGCAACATGTGTACTAACTTTTTAATCAGAAACTATTTTGTTCTATAAACCTTCATGTAAAGTAAGAATAGCAGCACAACTGGAAGAACGTAATTGATGTCACTGAACTGTACACGTAGTAATTTTTGAAATGGTGTATCTTTGGCTATGTATATTTTCACCAAAAAAAGAAAAAGGTCAAGAAGGGAGAGGGTTGACATGTTGTGGGGTTGTTAACCAATGTCATAAAACAATCTGTGTACTACTGTTTCATGAGGAAAAAAAATAATAACAAAAACAAAAATTTGCTATGCTTCCAGATTTTCTAAATTAAAGATTATTATTTGGTAATTAAAATACATTAAATATTATTTTAAAAAGACAGCTCTATGGTCAAACTTACTCATACCCGTCGGTATAAGGCTTGGACAAAGAAAATAAAGGTGAGAGTAAAAGACTTACAGGATGAAGGAATAATATAAATAATAATAAAGGAGAGATATAAAAAAGTACCAAAAAAAGTGTAGAAATGAAAAAGATTAATTAGGGCAACAAAAGAAAGCATTTTCTCCATAACAAAGCAGATACAATCTCTCCGGTTGCAACCAAAAAAGATTTTCACTCTTTTAATCTTACCCTCAGAGAGGAATTGTTTATTCAAGTATGTACTACCTTCTGTTTGTTAAAATAGGCTTGAAGACACATCTTCACAGGAATATGCTTATAAGTAAAACATATTGATTAAAATGAAATCACTGAGCAGTTTTAAATAATGTATATTGACATGCATATGCATGCATACACACACAAATAAGTATACAGAGAAATACCACCTAAAGCCCAAACTCCAAATATGGTCAAGATCACCTAATCAAAATTAGCATTTGCTGGAACTCTCTAGCTAGTATTCAGTCTTAGGAATTCAAGGTAATTATTCAGTGAGTGTCTACTATATATAAGTCACTATGTTAGGTACTGTTGGTGAAATGCAGACAGATAAGATAGTCTCTAGGGGGACCGCTCATTAACCTCAGAAAGGTATCACGATTTCATGACTCATTCAAATACTTATTGACTTATTCATTCATTTGAAACCATTACTGTACTTGTACTGTTTGTAGCATCATACTTTTTAATAATGATATGATAATTAAGAAGATAATGCTCAATTTTTAGACACTGAAAACACACATTTTAAGGAGTTTACAATGTTCACTATAAGCCAAAACCATACAGTTTACTTTAACAAATACATATTGAGCCATCTACTACATGTGAGACACTCTGAGACACTGAGGATATATTTGCGAACCAAGTAGACAATGGTCTTTACTCAGGTGGTCCTTATTTTCTAGGAATATAAGTAGAAAAAGAATGCCATATGTTGGAATGGCAACACATAGGATACAACCCAGATGTCCCAAAAGGCTTCCTAGAAAAAGAAATGTCTAAGATGAAACCTGAATCATAGGTAGGAGCGAGAGAAAAGTAGGAAAGAGCCAGGTGGAAGTTTGTCAGGTAAGAGGGTTCCGGTAGAAGACCTAACACCTGTGAAAACTTAGTGGCGGGGAAAAATAAAATAGAGTTATGGAAATGGAAGCCACTCAGTATGGCTATAGGCGTGTGAGTGGGTGTGGTCTATGAATTTTTTTGCTGGGGAGCAAGAGCTGATGAAGTAAACAAAGACTAAGGATGAAGAACCTTGAAAATCCCATTAAAGGATTTGGACTTTATCCAGCAAAATAAAATCACTGAGGAGTTTTAAGCAGAGGAGTAGCATGTTTAGATTTGTGTGTAAACTGGAAGAAAAGGGGGCAGGACTGGCAGAAAGGAAACCAATTAGGAGGCTGTCATTCTGATACAGGTAAAGAGGATGGTGGCCTAAACTGGGAAAGTGACAGTGGAAATTGGGAGGAGAGGATGAATTTCAGAAATATTTTAGTAAATCAACAGACTTTAGTAACTGATTGGGAGTAGGGAATAACTGTTTCCTTAAAATTTTTTACCTTGTTGATTCTTTTATTTTTCCCCCTCAAGTAATCAAAAAGGACTATTCTAATTATACTTTCATATTACAGCACTTCAAACATTTGGAGACATGTATATCTTGCCTAAATCTCCTTTTCCAGCTTTCAAATATTTCAGCATGAGAGAATACATGCAAAACCCTTAAAGTGGCCTGATCCACAGAACATGATTCAATGAAAGTTATTATCATTATAAATTAGCACGTTTCAAACATCTTCAGTATACTAAGCTTTAGCATTCTTAACATTATTCTTAGAAGTCTGTGCCTTTCTCATGTTCCCTAAACCTCTTTAAAAAAATAAAGTTTAGAGAGAATATTAAAAAAAAAAAAGTCACTAAAAGTCCCACTATCCCAGAAACTATTTTTTTGCATCATCATCTAATTTTTTCTTGTTTTACATATCTGAAAGCATATATCATACCATGTGTAATTTCTTTTAACCAATGTATCAGAAGATATTTTTCATTTTTCAATACAGCCTACATAAGTCATTTCAGTGTCTACTTAATAGTCTACTGAATGCATGGTCCCTATTTTAAGCATTCTGTTCTTGAAATTAAGGTTTCTTCCCACACCAATTTTTCGTGAATATAAACATTCCAGTAAGGAATCGCTTTTACTTTCTTTTGGATAATTTCCTGAGGATAAAGTCTCTGAAATACACACAGAGGTCAAAGGGTATAAACATTTTGTATATTCTGTTGAATTGCTTTTATAACACATTTGATATCACCAGCACATTAAAGTACAAATTTCATGGAAATGTCACTTTTATAATTTCAAATTGAATAGATGTAAAATGATACCTCATTTTTAAATTCTGTATTTCTCAATTGGTATATTTTTTCCCTGTTTTACTGATTTTATTTCCTCATGTGTAATATTTTTGTACATTTTAAACATAAATGTATCCATCGTGCTGTATGCAGTGCTTATATACTAACAATATTAAGCCCTTATGTGACAAACTTGTAAATATTTTTCTGCATTTTAAATTTGATATTTTTCTGTGAAGTTTAGCTTTTGTTTATTCAAACAAGTAAATAAATCCTTCTTTTTTTACTTCAATTACTTCAAAGCTTCCAAAGTTTTCACTTTGATATTTACTTTATTATTTTGGTATACAACGTGAGTTATGAACATATTTTTCCCCAGTTTAGGCAGATGATTGAATAAACAGTGTTTGGATAACCATCTTCTC